TCGGGAGCGCGTTCGGCCGCGAGGATGGGGAGAGGGGAGCGGGTGGGGAGAGGGAGGTGTCTCACCTTAGCGCTCAGCTCCGCCGGTGCCTCCTCGACGCGTTTTTCCGACATCCTGGCCCCCCGGTTGCGAAGGGAAGAGGCCGGYGGGAACGGTGCGAGGGAGGGAGGGTGAGAGCGAGGAGGGGTCAGCGGTGGGAGCGCAAAGTCCCAGCGGTCCGCAGGCGGCGGCGGGATCCCGCCCCGGGGGCCAAAGTACCAGGGTCTCCCGCGGTGGGGGGATCCGCCGGGGCAGGGGATTTATACAGCGCCGGTGACGAGGGAAGGAGGGACCTGGGGAGGGAGGAGAGAGGGACGGGAGGCGGAGGAGGGAGGGGAGAGGGACGGACCGCTAGAACAATGTGCGCTCCGCCGCGGCAGCCCGGCAGCGGGGGTGCACCGCGGGTCCCAGCAAGRCGCCGCACGGCCCCGTCGAGGCCAGGCGATAGCCCCGCTGTCCGCCSAGCGGCGGGGCTGCAGAACCGACGGGCACCGTCCGCGAAGGGGAGCCGAGCTCTCTGCCCGCAGCACGCCCGTACAGGCTGCCTGGCTCTCCAGGAGGAATCCGGGGGAGGCGAGAAGCGGCGCTGCGGGGCCGTGTGGGAGGGCAGCGCTGGCGACACGCGGCCTCCTGCCTGGAATTTTCCACTCCAGCTGCCCGCCCTTCCTCCCGCTGGAAGCGCTCCCGGCGGCGGGACTCCTCCCGCCCCTCCCCTTCTTCCCTCCCTACTTCTCCCCCCCCCCGCTCTCCGCCCGGCACTGGGCGCTTTTCCCGCGCTCTGCGCGCGGCAGAGGGAGTGGGCGGGGCCTCGGAAAGGGATGGGCGGTGCTTCGCGGGGGAGTGGGCGGGGCAGCCGGCGGTAGCGGGGGGGTGGATTAGCAATCGCATCCCCCGGTCCCCATATAAGGAGGGGCTCGGGGCTGGGGCGCCTGATTGGGCCATTCAAATGAGCTCTCTGCCTGGCAACAGGTTTCCCATTGGCTGGCGGTGGCCGGCGCGCGGCGGGGCGGGGGCGCGGGCCCGTTTGGTGCAGTGCAAGGCGGGAGGGGCCGCTGCCACGTGGGGCGGCGGGAAGGCGCGCGAGGGCGCGGGTGCTGCGCCGGTCCTGTCGCCGCGGCGCGGACATTGTCCCGCTGGGCTCTGCTCCCACCCACCCGGGACCCGGTCCCCCRCTCCGGGCCGCCGGCCGGGCAGCACACGGCGTGCAACACTGACCTCTGCCGCCCGCCTGCCTCGAACCCGGACTGTGGCCGACACTCGGCCGGTGCCTCCCTCCGGGCTGGGGAGAATCACCGCCAGACTCCGAGTCTCCCTTTAGCCAAAGGTCCTTGCTGGAGAACCGCCGCTGGTGACTTGCAGCTGCAGGGATTTGTTGCTAACGAAACAGATGTTCCTGTAGCCGTGCTTCAGCTCGTTGTTTATCATCTTGAGCAGACGGGATGACTAAATTCCCTTCACCTTTCCCAGAAGGTTTATATTGTCCCGCTCTTAGTCAGAGGCTCATACAAAAGGAAAAAATAAACCTGCGCGCGTGTGCAAGCCTACATACAGAACTAAGCGCATATGGATGTACACGTGTACACAGTATTCTCACAGGTACAAGGCAAGGTTATTAATCCATCTGGTTGGAAAATGTATTGAGGTACACATGCCCTTCTTGTCCTTCAGATGCAAACTCAGGCTCTGTGCAAAGTCAGGATTTAGAGCTGGGGCTCTTGGGTTTCATCAAAYGTGTCTCAGTTCCAGCATTTAACAGCAAAAGCCATTGGTATTTGTGGAACAGAGGGCACCGAGTACATATCTCCTGAAGAAAAGTATGAAAGAGACTGGATAGATTATAGTCTTGTGTGACAGGGAGGTAGAAGGTCCCCACCTTGTCATCTCTTCTCCTCCACAGCTACAGCTGCTTCTCTCATGATCTGACTAATTGAYGTTCTTCCCAGCTACACACAGTGCACAGTGCCTGCCCCAAAAACAGTCCTGTAACTCAGACACACAGATCTAGACTAGTACCAAAATAAACCAAATTATGAAAATGCATGCAACTAATTTTTTTCCCCCTCTACTGTTTCACAAAACCCATCTGGCTGATTTCTCAGGTCTAGCTGCTRTCAGCATTCAAGCCCTGGTTCAGTTCAAGTACCCCTCTTTCATCCTCCTCTTTTGCAAGAAGCAAATCTTAATTTCTAGATATCAACYCAAAAACAGGAGCCAAAAAATTATGTAGAGTGGCCAGATGTTGTTCYTCTCTGCTTCTGCTTGTCAGGAGGAGCATGGTTCGTGGCTCTGCTGTTCTTCTCACCAATCCAGGATTTTGTCCTTTTCCTTTACACACTCAACCATTGAAAAGGCAAAACCACACCGACACATATCCCTTGGCAAAAACATTTTCACATTAATGCACAAACAGGCCTTGACACAACATCCTAGAGGGGAGAAAGCATGGATTATGTTCAGAGATGTTGCCGTGCCCAAAGCTCCGTGTTGACTGTGCACCCACGGATGCAAATAGACAAACACCTGTTTGTGCAAGGGAAGCTTGTTTCCAGCACCCTCTGGGGTGGGGCTGTTGGATCACCACTCCAAACTGGCATGATAGCAGCGACCTCTGCTTTCCTCCCCAGCACCTGTAGCTGCAACCTCACGTTGTCCCTTCCATGCTCCCCACCATATCCCCATTGCAATTTTTACCTCATCTGCTGCTTCTTGGCATTTGCCTCCTACCTGTGTTCTTGGTAGCACTCTTYCTCTGGCCCTCTCCCTGGCTTCTCTTAGTGACATCCTGTATCATATGTACAGAATTCATCTTGCACCCCCTCCTTTGTTTTCCACATGAACCATATTGCCCTGCATGGTTGTGTCAACTATGTTTTTCCCATTAAGTCCAATGTGAAACTCTTCTTCATGCCTTGTGACCTGCCTGTTTCAGCATTCTGACTCTTCTTGCCCTTTGGATGCCGGTGGTGAGATTCCCTGGGCTTCTAGTGTGCAGCTGCTTCCCTCAAGCCCTGAGGGTATCCATTGACTGTCTCACCTGGCTCTTCCCTGTGACTTCTGCTCCTCCACCTGATCTGTGCCACTCTGCATTTCGCCTGCCAGATCAATCTGCAGCGTTTCCCTGCTCCTCTCTCCCATCTGTGCTTTTCCCTTTGTTGCAAACGCGAGTACACTCATTGTGCGCTCTGCAGATGCCAGTCCCTGCTCAGTATGTTCTGTAGTCTTTGTCTGTGTTGCTTCGCCAGCTCAGCAGAATATATTCCAACCTTTTCAGGGACTTATGTCCTTAGACAAAATGAGGGAGRTGCACAAGTTACATGACAGATCATTGCGTGGAACAGGCACCGTGCATGTCTGCCTGCAGCCCAGACGACAATGGCAATGTCATTTTCTCCATACAATGTCACAATTTTGGTGCTGTACCGTTTGTGCTTGGTGTTTCTGTARGTGTGTGCATGTGTTTTGGTGCTGTACACACCCATTTGTGTACAGAGGGGGTATTTTCCCTCTTACGTTCTTTTGTGAGTGCAGAAAGTACGGTACTTTTCTACTGAAGCGTGCGTTGAGCTTGCAGGCGTGTGTCATCATACGTGAGCACGTGGCTGAGATGTGTTTGGGCTTTCATGCGTGGTGTCTATTTTGCTGCTTCTAGCATATGCGGGGTGAATGCACCTAGAAGCAATTATTTATGCATTTTGGCTTATTACCTTGCTAGTCATGTCAGTGCGTTGTGTTGGGGAGCAGAGGGGAYGGTGACTTTCGTATTTATGTTGAGGGCTGAACTAACTAACTCTGAGCCATCTTCCGAGCAAAAGCAGAAYACAATAACTGGATATTTTAAGAATTATATTTACTGAGCTAACCCCTAAGTGATTCCAAACCTCTTTCAAACTGTTTGCTGAGTAACAAAAGAGCAGGAGGATGTGTATTTGCATTAAATTTTCTTAGATTTACATAAATCCAGAAACGGAGAGTATCTGTCCTTTTGCTTACAGCAAAACTAGCAAAATCTCAATGTGCAGAGGGAATGTGTTTGAATGCATTTATGTATTTAACCCACACTGTTCATCCTTCTGTACTGTGTCCATTAAAAATCCAGGCAGATAACCAGCTTTGTTTTTCTTTCATGATGCTGCATATTGAAGTTAAGAGGAAATATCCAAGAATTCAACCACCAGCGAACTTTGCATTGGGAAATGGCTTCCT